CCGGGAGGTGGAGGTTGCAGTGAGCCGAGAGGGAGCCGAGATAGTGCCATTGCATTCCAGCATAGGTGACAGAAGGAGAATCTATTTAAAAAAAAGTGAGTGCTGATATGTCCATTGCCCTGATTTGATCACTATACATTATATATATGTATTGAAAAAACATGCTCTGCCTCATAAATATGTACAATTATTACGTAAAAAAAAAAAAAGAAAGAAAAATGTGCAAAGAAACTGACAGTTTACAAAAGAAGAAATTCACACCAAAAATATCTAGTGAACACTTGAAAGACACATTGAACCTCACTAGTAATCGAAACAAGAAGATATCACTTTCCATTTTGGAATTAAAGAAATGTGTCTATATTAATTTCCAGTGTTGGGCATGGCTGCACTGAAACGGGCCTCTAAAATGCTTCTGGTGGAAGTTCCACCTCCTGAAACAATCTAGAAAACAACTTGAAGAGTCATCCACCCACTCGGTGTGTTAAAAATGGCCTAGGAATTCCACTTCGAGGAACTTAAGCCTACATAAAAACCAATGAAAGATGCAAAGATTTTATCAAGAGAATGTTTTAGTGACATTAATAGAGAAAAACTGAAAACAACCTAAATTTTAGCACCAGATCTTGGTTTCTACTACCATTTAAAAAAAAAAATGAACCAGGACTCTTTTGAAACGATTAGCACATTTCTAACTTTTCCGCTCTGGGAACATACAACTTTTTAATTTAGAAACTGTAAAAAATATTTCCAAAGCACAGATCTCAGTCTGTCTCCAAGCATGTACAGTCCAGAACCACCGCTGTTTGCTCTGCACCCGCCTCTTGGGGTTTAGGAGAGGGGCTTCCTTCAAGGAAACCCTCCCAGCATGCAGCTCTGGGGCTGGAAAAGACAGCCACAACCCCTATTTCTCACGCTCCTCTTCCACCAATGGGGATTCTATTTGCGGATTCAAAAGACACAGCCAGGCCTAAATCACAGCTCCAAACTGCTGCTCAGAAGCCCTCGATGACTGTTCACAGCCCATAGAAGGAAAAAGAAAACCAATTCCACTAAGACATCAGCCCTGCAGTCACGGCTGCATCCAATCTTGCTCCCCACCACCTTTCCCGCTCCATTCCTGCCATGCACACGCAGCTCCCACACATACCTGTCCCTCCACATCAGCCCTCCTGTCCACCCCCCAGGTCCTTACCCAGCCAGCTCCACACGCCCCAGGGAGTCCTCTGTCCTGCTGTGTGCCCAGCACCTGGCATCTGCCAGGCAAACGGCCAAAACCCTGTAAACATTCACTCATGCTGCTTCCTCAGGGGGTCTTTCCTTAGTCCTCTTCCTTGCTTACTTGCCCATGCCCGGGAGTTGACACCTTAGCCCCACGTGTCACCGTCTCCTCCCCACCCGGCCTGTCTCGGAGAGCTGCCAGCCCTGGGGAATGAAGCCTGTCCCCTTCACACCGTGAGCCTCCCTAGGCTCTACACAGAACGAGGGCTCCATGAGGCTGAAGTCTCCCCGACGTCTGAGCCTGGGGGTGTCACTCGAAAGCTAATGTGGGGACCGGGGATGGAGGACTGGTTTTTTGTTTCATAGAGGATGGAGTGATGGGCTGAGCCTGGTGAGAGCTGGAGAGCTGCCTATCAGCTCAGTGCCTGGAGAGGACAGGCAAGGGAGGAGCAGCAGCGGGGCTTCCTGAGGCTCGTGGCCACAGAGGAGGCGGCGAGGACAGCCTCAGGAGCCCTGGTCTGGGCTTCAGGACATGACATCTGGCTCCAAAAGGCTGCTATCCTGCCTGGCCACTGGAGCCACACATTTCAGAGACAAATGTGGGTTATGATTCAGGAATGACGTCATCCTGGCAGGAGGCCTTGGGGAAGTCTCCTCAGTGTCCTGAGCCTCAGTTTCTCCAACTATAAGATAAAGGGGTAGATATGATGGTCTCTAAGCTCCTTCAGTGTGATGTCTTTGGAAGCCCCAGAGGAATTCAGAAAAGGGGTGAGAGAGCTGGGGAGATGGAGGGTGACCTGCGTGCTAGCTCAAGTGCCAGAGCACACTTCACAGCCCAGCTCCTCACGACCCCACAACCTGCCTGCCCCTGACTGCAGGGCAGAAGCTGTCCATCTGATGTTCCTCGAAATCTTTGTCCAGAGCCCTGGCTTCCCAGCTTTGATCTGCAGAACCATGAGGTGCCCAGAACTCCTGGAAGCAGAGGGGCCTCCAAACCCCCAGACCACAAACTCAGCCTGAAGCCTAAGGAGAACGATGTCTTGCCAAAGTTTTGTCCGTTTTCTAAGAACCTGTAATGATAGTGATTAATAAATGCAAATCCTTCTGAAAGGACTTGCTAACTCACACAGCCAATGGCCACTGTCTATGTCCTCAGCACAAGAGCACTCTACAGTACAGTTTTGTTAGGAATTTGGTTTTTTGTTTTGTTTTGTTTTTGTTTTTGTTTTATAAAGCTATCCTTGACAGAGGGGTGAATGCTGGAGAGATGTGATAAAGCAAAATAGGACTCAGAGGCTCTCAGTGGTAAGCAAAGGCTGTTCAATGTACATTTCTCCCCATTTTACCATAACTTTACAATTTTTAATTAAAAAACGGGGGGAGGCTGGGTGCAGTGGCTCATGCCTGTAATCCCAACACTTTGGGAGGCTGTGGGAGGATCACTGAGGCCAAGAGTTTGAGACTAGCCTGGGCAATAAAGAGAGACTCCATGTCTACAAAACATTTTTAAAAATCAGCCAGGCATGGTGGTGTGTGCTTGTAGTCCCAGCTACTTGGGAGGCTAAGGCAGGAGGATCGCCTGAGCCCAGGAGTTTGAGGCTGCAGGGAGGCATGATCACAACACTTCACTCCAGCCTGGGTGACAGATTCTGTCTCAAAAAAAAAAAAAAAGAAAAAGAAATAGAAGTTGGGGAAAGCAGTCCTGCTCCTCATGGCTGGGAACCTGCAGCTCACTTGGCAACTGCTCCCCCTGTGACTCCACAGTGGAGCCGCCTAGGGACACTTTCAAGGGCGCCCCTAACACAGAGCTATGAAAAGAGGTTAAATAGGGACCGTTTCAAGGACACCCCTAACACGGAGCTGCAAGAAGAGGTTAAAGGGGAAGCAGAGGTCCAGCCTGCAGGGATGAAGGAGCTAGGGCATGACTCATCTGCGAGAACACAGCAGGTGGAGGTCACCGGGCCAGCGCAGGAGGGGCGCTGCTCTTTCCCCGGGGAAGACAGGCAAGGCAGCAAGAACAGCAACGGTGAGTCTGCTCCCCACTGCGGGGTCCATGGTGGACCCCATTTCGTCCCAAAGCCTGCCTCTGGGAGCTGTTCCGGTCTCCAAGCCTCTGCTGGGAGGGAATTCTAAGAATTAGCCAAAGGGAAAACCCTGCAAAAGCTCGCGGTGTCCCAAGTCCTCGACAGGAACACCTCATTTCAACATCTCAGCACATGTGGCAGGCCGTCCTCATCATTTCATAGGTAGGGCCGGCCAGGCGCAGGAAGGTGAGGTCCCTTGCTGAAGTCTCACCACGGCGCAGGACAGCCGGGAGAGCAGGTTCCCTGGGCGAGAGAATGTTCAGGGGAGGGAAGGGGTGGCTGCAAGTAGTGCCCAGGTGCCCAGGGTCCCCACGGCACAGGTGTGCCGAGAAGTTGTGCCCGCCAAGCGGCAGCGCAGCCCACAACATGCAGATTCGTTCGGGGCCAGGCCAACTGAGGGGGCCGGGCAGGTGAGCGCACCGCGAAGGGGGCGCCCAGCGGGCGGGGGCGCTACCTGGGTCGTGGAAGGGCACCAGCGCGTAGTTGACGATGGCCTGGCTGCGGCGGCTCAGGCTGCGTTCGAGAATGCGCGAGGCGCCGTCGATCACCTGCATCAGGTCGTCCCACATGGAGCCAGTGACGTCGAAGACGAAGGCCAGGGTGGCGTCCCCCGTGGTGGGGAGCATCGCCGTCCCAGGCGCTCCTGCCACCACCGCTGCCGCAGAGACCGTGGTCAGCAGCCTCAGGAGGCGCGCCCCGGGCATCATGCTGAGCACGGCTCTGCGGTAGAGGCGCAGGTCGGAGCGAGAAAGCGAGAACGGTCGCCCCGTGCACACAGCAGCTGCAGCCGGTGCCTCTCTCCGCGACAGGAGCCAGTGCGAGGGATAGGGGCACACGCGCGGTGGGTCCCCCTGCTGGGAGCCCGAGGCGGGTCCTAGAGCCCACCCCGTTCAGGGTCACTGGCCCGCCTCCTCCGCTCCCCCCACCATGACTCAAACTTTCCCAGCCCCACTGTTCTCCCGTCCAGATCCGAGGTTAGGGGAGGACGCTGGGCGGACGGCAGAAGGGAGCTGGGGCCCCAGCCAGGGCGGCGAGGAATGGGGACATGCAGGATGCAGTGGACACCTGCGCCTCCCGCTGATGGCACGCCACGCTGCAGGGGCGGAAAAGAAGGAGGGGGAAACGCTACCCTCCAACCCCAGCTCCCCCCACCCCTGCCTGGCCAAGGCGGACCCTGGCTTCTGCAGTTCCCTCCACCCAGTGCTGCCACAACATCCCCCACCCCTGCCCCCTAACACACACACAAACTCCGCCATGCCTTTTCCTTCTACTGGGTGGGCTCTCTGCTTCCCGGTTATTCCAATCATTACTGTTGTTATAATCAACAAGAAGTCTTGTTGTTAATCACATTCTAAGCATTTTCAGTTATTCGCTGGAAGGCTGGTGGCAACCCTAAAGTGAAACACGACCCCTAAACCCATTTTACAGATGAGCAAACTGAGGCTCCGAGAGGTGAAAACATTTGCCCCAGGTCACTCAGTTCTCAAGCAATGAAGACAAGATTAGAGACCAGATCTAGAAAGACTCCAAAGGCCCAGGCTTTGCTGCCTCCCTTGTGTTAAAAGACATTGTCACCAGTCACCTGGTGACTCCAGAAGATAAGGGCTACCCTCCTGCCCATCCACCTCCCCAGCCCCATGGGCTGCTTGTGCGGATGCTGTGTCCCACCTGAGGTGCTTCCCCGGGCTGGGTTCAGTCTCCGGCCCCCCACAGCACTGCCGCAGATCCAGATGGGCTCAGGCATGGCTGCTCATCTCAGGCTGTGTTCTCGGGACCTGTTTCACGCCTCTCTCCCCGCTGGCCTATGAGCCACTTGAGGGCAGGGCTGGTCCTTGGTCTATACTGGATGAGCCCCCAGTTCCCAGCCCAGACCCAAGCACGTGGTGGGGAGTCACTAATGTTGCCTAAATAAACAAATGGCAGCTTTTGTGGATATGCCTGGTTTTGAGTCATGTGAGAGAAGGTAGCTAACCCCCTCAGTCCCTCCTCTCAGAGCTCTGTGCTCCCAGAGACATGGCTGAGGGCACTGGGTCTGTGAGTCAGGGCTGGCGGGGGCTTTCTTGAGCCCCTGTCCCCTCAGAGTCCTCAGCCAGGAAGCCCCCCACCCTAAGCTCCTCTTTCCCCCATGGTCTCAGCTCAGACTTGTCTCTGAGGCTGCTTCTCAACCCCTGACTTGCAGCTCACATTTCTCTGAGCTCTGTCCTGGCTCTGACCCCACGCATGTCATGTCTGTGGGTCTGCCCCTCCCACTCTGACCGTAAGTTCTATGGCAGAGATGCTGTGCCTGGCATATGGTACGTGCCTAAGGAAGGTCTGCCACCTGAATGGGGCAGCAGGCATCAGAGAAGCTTGGCAGCTGGGCGTTGGTCACAGTGGGAGGCAGCACACATCCCAGGGACTCCGTTCTAGCCGACAGCTGGGGTCCCAGGGAAATGGTCTCCCACAGAGCTACCTGTCTCATGGGATATAGTGTGACCAGGCGCCCAGACCCAGCAAGGGAGTGGAACTTGCACCCACCCAAGTTCAACGGAAGCTGAGTCACCTGCGCCTCTGAATGCTGGCTCTTTAAATCTCCCTGGGCTAAGTCTGTGATTGCCCCCAGAGTCTGGGCAGGGCTGGGCCAGCTGTTGGAGAGAGAAGAGAGGCCCCAGCTGTGGGGAGGCAAAAGCCAATGGGAGCCAGGAACCAGGCAGGACTCACAAAGGGTGACATTCCAGGCACAGTGCAGTGAACATTTGGGGACAAGGTCCTTCAGTCATTCACACCACAAAGATTTGCTGAGCCCAAGCTGTGGTCAGGCACTCTGCTAGGCAGTGAGAGCAGCTGGCGGGGTGGGGGAGGGGGAGATGAAGATGCAGAAGACATGCTTCCTACCCCAGGGAGAAGAGACATGTAAACAAATAATTCTAAGTCAATGAGATAAGTGCTAATAGAGGAATTACCAAGAGCTCTGGAAGCTCAGAGGAAGGAGTGGTTGAGCCTAAGAGGTCAGAGGAGGCCACAGAACGAGGCTGAGAAGTCTTAAAGAACAAGCAGGGAAGGGTATTTGAGGAACAGGAACAGCATGTGCAAAAGCAGGAAGATCTGAGATCCCTACTGGCAGGCAGTCCTGCATAACCAGCCAGGGGATGGCAGAGAAGTTCAGAGGTGGACCTTGCAGATGCCAGGAAGCCACAAACCTACTCAAGGATGTCAGGGCAGAGCTGGCCCCAAAGAAAGCAAGCAANGAACAAGCAGGGAAGGGTATTTGAGGAACAGGAACAGCATGTGCAAAAGCAGGAAGATCTGAGATCCCTACTGGCAGGCAGTCCTGCATAACCAGACAGGTCACAGCAGAGAAGTTCAGAGGTGGACCTTGCAGATGCCAGGAAGCCACAAACCTACTCAAGGATGTCAGGGCAGAGCTGGCCCCAAAGAAAGCAAGCAAGATGCCTCTACCCAAGCTGGTCACCAGGGACAAATGGAACCATGGATTTGGGTCCTGAAACGGCCTGACTACCTGGAGCAAAGCCCTCTCCTCCCTGCAGCTGGGTCTCTTCATTCATAAAATGATTTTGCGATGGAAGGGAGGCTAACAAGATGACCTTTGATGTTTCTTGCAGGCTTTCCTCTCTGGAACCACCACCTGGTCCCTCAGAGACACAGGAAAGGTACGAGGGAAAGTCTAAGCTCATCTTGGCACTGCTTCCCCCACCTGCCAGGGAAGAGAGGCTTGTGCAGGCCTCCGTCATCTGTCTGCCATAGCTCCATCAAAGAGTAATGTCTGGCCTGATCCCAATGCCCTCCAGGGTGACTAGAGGTGCTGCCCCAAGCACCATCCTCTTCAAGTGCTCAGGGCTTCCCAAGAATGTAACCGTGATCGCACGTAACCAAAGTGAGCAAGGCCTGCAGAGCAGCCCTGCCCAGAGAAAACACACCTGAACCTCATGCATCAACCTCATCCCACCACCTTGACTTGACAGCAGGCTGCCTGAGAATCCCACATTTTTCCTCTGTTTCTAGAAGAATTGGTCTCAGGGGAGGTGTTTCCTAACATAGCACATTTGCTGTAGACAGCCATAGAGAGCAAGCATGTGCTGTGGGCCGCCACTTAAAGGAAGCATGCATGGAGACTGCTCAACCTGCCAAGTTCAGCCCTGACTCACAAACCCAGTTCTGCAGACTGTGTCTGCACCGGGGATCGGTGTGCAGAGGGGCCGGATCAAAACCCTGGAATCTGAACACATGGCCAGTCCAGGAAAAATGACTCCTCTCTACCAGTGGCCCTTCCTTCCTCTTCCCTATGCCCTGCTCCCTAAATGCCTTCTAGTCTTGGCCACATTAAATCTGTGATTGTAGGCTAGACGAGGTGGCTCACACCTGTAATCCCAACACTTTGGGAGGCCAAGGTGGGTAGTCACCTGAGGTCAGGAGTTCGAGACCAGCCTGGCCAACATGGTGAAACTCCACCTCTAGTAAAAATACAAAAATTAGCTGGGTGTGGTAGGGGGGACCCATAATCCCAGCTTCTTGGGAGGCTGAGGCAGGAGAATCTCTTGAACCTGGGAGGCAGAGGTTGCAGTGAGCCAAGACCGCACCACTGTACTCCAGCCTGGGGGACAGGGAGAGACTCCATCTCAAAAAATAAAAGTAAATAAATAAATCTGTGATGCTAACATCCCCCCACTCACTTCATCCCATCCCAACCCTCGTCCTCGGGGAATCTGCTCTGCTCCTCTGAGAGAGTAAAAACACCAAGGGTGGAGAGGAAGGCAGAGCCTCGAGGAAGGCCAGCCCTGTACTGACCCTCCTCCTGCGCCCCCTCAGCAAACTTTAATGTCAACATCTCTTCATGGAAGGGATGAGACAACTGAGGCTTCGAGAGGTGACGTCCTGTGTCCGGGTCGGGCTGTGTGTTGGCGTGTCCCTTCCCACAAGGCCTGTGACCACCACTCTGTGCTGCCCCAGAAACATGGGGCAGTGATTTGTACAGGAATCCCATCAGGCAGCCCTTCTTCTAGAACTAACCAGGAGCTTGGTGTCTTCCCCAGGCATTCAGAGTCCTCTTGAGCAGTTCCCTAGCCTGGACTCAGACTCAAGCTTCAGACGTTAAGCACTGGAATGCTGGAATAGTCACAGCCTACTCATGTGTCACCAGAAGGCCTGGGCAAAGAGAGGAGGCAGACAAATTACCCAGGGAATGAAGCAGGGGCTTCTGCCCTCCCAGGGCCTGAGAATTAAAAACAGTTTCAAATCCTTGTTTCGCTCCACTAGGAAAAATTAAATAATTAAGTGGGGGCCTGGAAAACAAGACTAGCAGGAAGTCAGAGGAACTGACAAACAACTGGGAACGATGAAGCTACTGAGGACGGGCCGGAGCAGCCAAGAAGCTAGAATCTGCGTGCCTGCGCCGAGCGCTCCAGGCAGCCAGCACTTGATGATTTACTGCTGAATCCAGTCCCTCCATGGACCAGCCTCCAAGTCACGTGGACCGTAAGGAATGGTTTGAGACCATCCCAAGAAATATTTGGGCAGCTCAAGAGATGCAGGAACTGTTGCCCATCCCCATGTTTCGAGAACAAACAAGTAAAAGCTAAGCCAGGGTCAAGCGCTCCAAGACTCGCTCCCAGGCCGGGCCCGGTGTCCCCTGGACAGGGATCATGCCCTACTGAGCCCCTGATGCTGACCTCATGGGAGAAGGAGCCCGCCTCATTGGCAGGGGGTCATTGCTCACTGTTCGGGCAGTAAACTAAGCCTTGTTGTCATTTATGGCCATTTTGTCACCTTTATCATTGTCATCAGTGGCTGGCAAGAAT